CGAAGGTGCCAGAGATCCAAACGCTTTCAGGGCACTGGGAGCGGGTCATTGATGAAGAGGGATCTACTTAACTTGAAGCCAAAATATTACTTTTCTATCTGTTTTTCTTCGTTTTATATTAATAAAACAGTCCACATTTTCGAATGGGATGACCTAATAGAAGGAAGTTGGCTGACACGGAGAAAGTGCGATTTCTGATCTACCGTTTTACCAAGAAATTTCATGTAGCGGTACGCGCACGGCTCCCCATGCGCACGGCAAATCCTTTTGGCCTGGAGTCAGAACGAAAAAGGACTAATTTTATAAGGAGCCTTTTATCTATTGCGAACTGTAAGGGATGAGATTATTGTCTCAGCTCCCATTATGTCTACCGAATAAGGTGCACTGATGGGGCGAAGCCATTAATCGACCCCAGCAGCGGTCATGTTTTGAATTAGATTTTCTATCAGCGATTATTTTCTGGCGGTTTATGTCGGCAGACCACAGACCACAGGTGGAAAAGGCGGCCGCCTTGATCAACGCCCCATTGCCCGTGTTATGGACTGCAGCAAAATCCAGCTACCACTTCAACCCTCCAGAAACACTTCTTAGGAGGCTCCAATAAGAAATAGCCCATTGAAGAGCGCCTAAAAAATTCTTTGCGTCTCCTCATTTTCACTGATTGCAGATTGTGAATCTCCTAAACGATCTGTATAATGGATTTGACTCGATCATCGAAGAGCACTCTGTGTACAAGGTAAGGCCCATATGGTCATGATCAAAGATCACCATCATCATGTGTGGTCCCGGTGGGGAGCCATTTTTCCGGTTGACATTTTCAGCACTATGACATTTTCAGCGTGCTGAAAATGTGAACTGGATTCTCTGAGCTCAAATGTAGCGATCCATTTCGAGGACGTCGCCAATCCCGGAAAAGCAGAACTGTTATAGGTAGAATTGCAGATAGCGCTGAGAAATGACTTGACGCTGCAACGCGAAACTCCCTCAAGTAGCCTGAAATAATGCTTTTGAATTGCTCAATGGCTCATTGAATGCGATGTGCCAACAGTTTTCCTGTCCATCCAAAGGGCAAAGAGATTTAATTCCGAAGAAACTTGAAAGCTAGGACCTAGGCGAATCTATAGAGTCTCGACGGTTGAATGCGAACATGTGAACATGTCAAAAATGCTAGGGGAAATCTTCCGAACGAGTCCTGGGTGACCAAAATTTGCTGAAGCTGCAGTGTTGGCGTGCGAGCAGTGCTGACCGTGTGACCGCAGTGGTGACGGCCTCGCTTCGAAGCAAAATGTCTCTGGTTTCCTCCCCTCTCTACGGTACCAGAACCTTTGCTTTAACCCCAGTAAGAGCTTCCACTCCATTTTTTGAAATTTATGAAAATTATCTCCCCGCCTCAAAGCCAACTATACAGCTGTGAAAGTATTTGTGTCTTTTTCTTGTCAGTTCAGCATAAGACTAAATGAGAATCATTTACTAGGTGGAATCAATTGGTGACGGATATTTGTGCGTCTCTGGTCTCCCAGTGAGAAATGGCTATGCTCACATCAAGGAAATCGCGGAGTTGTCGCTGTCATTCATGAAGTTCGTTGAAGAATTCAGAATATCTGCCTTACCGAAAGAAAGAGTCCAACTTCGGATCGGCGTCAACTCAGGTAATGGTAATGCATAATCCACTCATGCACTCATACTTACATTTCACTCTGACAGACTGTTTCGGACCTTCAGCTGGTGATGAATTTCTTTTCTCCTTCAGTTGGTAATAAACTTCTAGCAGTACTTACGCACATAATAGAGTGTACTTAGCCTTCTCTCATTGGGAGTTGAGTTGCTTCCTGCCAGTGCGCTACTTTTGTGTCTTTGGTAAACGCTACAGTCGGGAAGTGGACAACATGCGCCTAAGACAAATCATTGCTGGTCAACAATCAAGGAGGCGTTTGTAAACAGCAAGCCTCAGGAAACCATCAAGAAATGTCTCAGAGAAAAGTACCTCAACACAAATGACTCTTTCACGAGATGCCAGCTGAGTTCTTGAGACTGAGTATAAAACGACCAAAAACGCATAACCTTCAGAATTCCAAAATGAGGATTACGTTGCAGGAACGTTTTGCAATATGCTCAAGAGAGATGTGTTCGTTAACAATAGTGACTCAATTTCTCAGAAGGGGTTCTGGCGGAACGAAGCTGCTGCTCCATATGAGGTCATTTGCACATTGAGTGGCCGTTTGTTGACCGGCGGTTCTCACAAGGATGCTAGTTCACATGCCAGGCGTTCCTGAAAAAGTAGCTTGGAGTATGCTCTTTTTTTGCAAAATGCAGCTCAAGGCGCGCTTTTGAGCTGCTCGAAGTCACAAACTATGCAATTGATTTATTTATTTGAATACACCCGAGGGTGTGCCACAGACGCAGGAAAAAAATTTGAAATACACAAATCGCACAGTGAAGATTTGAAAAGAAAACAAAATCAAAACAAAACACAAACATAGGAAACGAAACACTGGGAACAAGAGCGAAGGAATAG